GGCCATCGGTACCCGTCGTCCTGGCGATAGCTCGACATCGTCGAGAACCGACAAGGGAGTTTGACCGCCGGATTGCCACATTGCCGGAGCTCGCTCCCACGCAAGATCGTCCCGCCCGTGACGAGCGCGGAGTTGAAGTGCCAAGCCGTTGTCGTCCACAAGGAGCATCTCGACAAAGGTGACGAACCTCGGCAGCCGAAAGAGAGCCTGCGCGGCGTCTTTTCGCGCGTGAGCCATTCCCATCAGGGCCGACCGGTGGCACCACCGAACCAGGCTCAGAGGCATCATCAAACACCATGTGGCCACCCGCGATCGAGGGCAGGGAAGCCACAGCCCGAGAGCCCCGACCACTACGAGACGAGGCGGTCCGAACAGAGCCCACCGCAGCCTGAGCCGAGGACTCCGAGGCAGTCTCGATGTGCATGAATCCCCCACCTCGTCCTCCAGCAGTGTTGCCTATGGCAGCATGGCACCAAATGTCGACTAGGGCCTCCGGTGAGCACCGGATCCATTCATAGTGCCGGCCGCTGTGCTTCAACACGACAAACGGGTCGGAGTCGGCCTGGCTCGCGAACTTAAAGGTGGTCTGCGAATCGAAGTCCATGATAAGGATGTTTGCTGGGAGCCCCCGGCTTAAAGCGTACACTTCCAAGTTGCCGCACCATGAGCCCACACTTTCAACCGCAGACAGGTACTCGGCAAACGACAACTGACAGGGCTGGTCGTTGGTGTCGCGCCCATCCCACAGCGGCTGCAGGTGAGGCACCTGTTCACGCATCCATCGTGTCATGGCCCTTCGAACTCCGCGGTGGCTGACCTGCTTGCCTCCCTGCGATGTCAAGGCTTGTGCAACGGCGGCTGGGAGGCAGTTGCCACCGCCCTCATTGCTGTGGCTCCCGAAGGCAACTCAAGCTTGGGCTGCTTAGGCTTCTTGGCGACAGGTGCACTACCAACAACTGGCCTCTTGTTCCCCATCATCTGAGAGTCGTCACCCCCAGCCTCCCCGTCCTGAGCCAACATCAGGCGCCTTGCCCTTGCCCTTCGCTCCGCCCCAGTCTGCTGGTGCACTGGTCCCGGAGGTCGACATCCCGAAGAACTGCTCAGCCAACTGGAGCACCATCGACTTCACCAGCCGCTTCACATCCTTCTTGGTGAGGCCGACTTGCTTGGACGATCGCTGCGGAGGCTTAGGCCCGGGATGGCTTGCCTCCCCAACTCTCATGCCCAGCCACTTGTCAAACCGAAAGCTGCGCAGCAACGAAGCCCTCCGGGAGCACCACATGAGCACGGCCCCAATGTGCCCGAGCACTTCGGCCAGAGCCGGCGACGGCAAATCACAGCCAGCATGCCCTGTCTCGGGCACCTTCTTCACATCGACGGCCGGGGAATGCTGAACCCTACCACCTCGCGAACCACAACGAAGCAGTGCGCCCCGAACTCGCCCTCTCCAACCATCATAGCGTTCAAGTGTCACACCCGCATCCTTGTCAGGAGTCTGCGTCGCCTCCGGACCGAGAAGGGCTCGAGAAGAAGCGCGGCAATCCCGCAGCCGCCGCCTCTTTCGATTCCAAGCCCCGCGCCTGCCTGCTCTCCAAACTGCGCTAAAGGCAGCAACGCCTGAAGGCCTTGCGGCCAGCAGCAGCCCACAATTTCCTGTTGCAGCGCCGAGATCGGGCCGCCTTGCGCCAAAGAAGCCGCCGAAGACGGGCACGACGACTGAAGCCCCTCACAAACAACTGGGTCTGCCGGTCACCCCGACCGGAGCTCCTAGAAGAACTTCCCCAGGCATTCGGGACATCGATCACGTGATTCACGCACGCGAACCCAAGCGAGCAAAAGTAACCAAAGGTTGCATATAGGCGCATGCCATGCTTAGAACCGCCACAGCCACCAGGGCCATGCAGACTCGCATGAGAAGTTTGTAACTGAAACAGGTGCGCCTCGTGAAGGCCTTCTCGTGCACCCCGATGTCCTCCTGGAATTTCGTCTGCGCTTTGTCGCGTTAGATTCGAGCCGTTCCAGCCTACTGGAAAGTTGTCGTAGTAGTCTGCGGTGTTCATCTAATGGTCCACTCAATGTCTCGGATCGCCTGCGAATCCATCGGGGAAGGCGGGGTATGGCTTCGTACGGTTTTGGGCCGAGTGAAAGCTACGCCAACGGGTGCATGTCGTCCATCTGGGATGGGGATACATGGCACGTAAGGTGAAACGCCTTACCGGCAGCGTCTCTCAAGTGCACTGACTCGTCATGTTTTGACTCGGGGACTCGGGAAAGAGACGTCAGAAGCGTCCTGTATCCGGCGTCGAACCGATCGTTCGGTGCAACGTCGGGAGTGCCGGGGAAATGCTCACCTCACGTCGCCTAGGCGGAAGAGGTGGCCCCAACACATCGCAGTTCGATTCGAAAGTCGACTCGGGCCCATGTGCACCTCGCATCGCCTAGGCGGAAGAGGGCACGAAAGGCCAAACAATCTATGTTCTGTGTAAACGAGTCGGGGGAAAGACGTCTTACCGACGTTCCTTGTGTTGTCCCGAAGTCGATGGATTCACCACGTCACCGGCGTCGCCTAGGCGGAACGGCCGACGGGTTACCCAGATTTCGGAGATCCATCGGTGGTCCCTCAGCGGGACTGTCGATCCTCTCGCATTTTCTTGACCAACTCGAGGTGTTCCGGGTCGATGCCCTTCGAAGCTTCGGTCACCCGCCATGTACTGTGAGGCCCGAAGTCGGATGTAACACAACGCCATGAAACGCATCATGTCGTCCTGTGTGAGGATGACCGTCTCGTCCTCGATGTAGTCGTATGTTGCGAAATGATAGAACGGTGGGTCTTTGCGAAAGGTCGAGATCCCGTAGGATTCGAAGTTCTCCTCGGTGTTGGCGGGACTGAGAGAGCACCAAGCGACGACCAGCCTGAGTGAACGACATGATCACAACGTTCCAGATGAAATGCTGCAATGAACAATTGTTTGGACGATCGCCTGGAGCCAAAATGGCCACGGCAATCGCCAGATCAGGATTTTGCTCTATCGAACGAAGAGACTCATCCCGAAATTCCAACCAACCTAGCTGTTAATTGAGAAACACAAACACACACACACACACTCACACACACACACACATATATATATATATACACACACACACATACATACACATCGGTATATGTATATGTATATTTATATATATATATATATATATGTATGAATGTATGTATGTGTATATACATACATCCATCCATCCATCCATCCATCCATGCATGCACCTATCCACAAGACACGCAGCCAGCCCACACACCAACGCAATCCCACGCATGCAGGCAGGCAGGCAGGCACAGGCAGGCAGGCACTGACCTACCGACTGACTGACTGACTGATTGCCTGGATGATGACTGGTTGACTCTTTAACACTCACTCGCTAACTTCCACAGTGGCCCACGCACCCCGTCACGCTCTTTCTTTGTAACTACTCAAATATGTGCGCCCTGCACGCGTAAGCATACGCGCGTGCAGAGACACACAGGCACTCCGAGCATGTCTGGACCAGTCCTTGCGGCCGTCCTAGCCCAGCAATCTGGCAGATGAGGAAACTGATCACACCGAAACTCCAAGTAACAGAGCATGCCCTTACCACCTGTGAAAAAAAAACACATGTCAGGCCCAACACAGAAATGTGCAACTCTGGATGTCACACGAAAGCTTGGGGGCCTTCGCCCGTTCTCTTCACGTCGCTAGAACCCCCGAAATCATGCACCCGTCTGAGGGGACCAAACAGTGGCAGCTGTGCCCGCGACGGATGCGCTGCCGCACAGGCAGCAAACTGAACATCAACTCCTGCGATTTTGACGATCAAGTTGTTGGGGCCCCTGTTTCGATCCCGAAATTGGTTTGTCAATGGCGAGGAGGGCATCGGAGAGAAGTCGAACCCCCCCACTAAAGCTCCCTGAATCTCGGAGTCTACGGTAGAGATCACCCAAAACTCCAATGCGCAACATAGGCAGACTCATGGAACTCCTTCTCAACTTGACCTTGTCAGAAAACCCTTGGACTGAGCTGTGCAGTTGTAGAGTCTAGCAAGACTTGAACACGGCCGCTGTTGACACCTTTCGAGAGGAGCGGCCTGGTCGCTTCCAAGATGTGTCGAAGCACCAGATACTTCTGACCTGCCAGTTGCTGTCTCGTTGCTAAGTAAACTGGTGCTGCCAGATGTCACTTCCAGCTTGAGGGCTGCAGGACGGGAAGACTCTGGCACCATGGGGTCTGGTCACGGTCTGCGAGCTCCAAAAGCGCTCCTTTTCTCCCAGATCTACTCCGCTGGATCATTTTTGGCGGCTTCTCTGAATTAGGCACCCCACTGGAGCTGCTGAGCTGTTTTTGCTAGCACTCGGCCCTGGTCGGAGCCACCCAGTTCCGAGAAACCGTCATTGCTTTCGCTCTATCTGGACACAGTGCCAAATTCAAACCCGAGCGGTCTCAGAGAAAAGCAACGCATGCATTGTTCACCGAAATGTCGAGTCATTCAATGCCTCGTGATGCCGGCAAAATCAATGTGTGCTAGAGGGTGACATGTTTGCCATTAGGGGGTCCCTCTGTGTGATACCGTAGGCAACCTAGCAATGCGTCTGTCCAAATCTTTGACCCGTGGGATGAGTCTTGTTTGGCAACACCAGGGAACAAAGCCTCCACCCCTACACGGAATGCAGGGATGCTTGACAGTGGCAGTGTTGGTGGTCCCAGTTTGATGTTCGGTTCTTCCGCATTGCGCTTCTGAAGCACTCTGTCAGGCATTATCGTGGTCACTAAGGATGCGGTGCTTCCAAGAGTCTGTCACAGGGTGAATATTCATACAATAAGCATCGTCCCAAACAGCGAAGCATCTTTCAGAAAGATGACAGTACACGACTATCACGGGAATATGGGGGAATGGTAGAGAAGAGAGCACGAAAATCCCCTTGAGCTCTTGCCACAATGCCAGGACGTGATCGCGCGGCAAAGCTTCAGTCAAGTGCTCGGTGCGGCCACTTCGAGAACCTCAGAGTTCTCGGAAAGTTACCCTCCGTGCCACCTTGCCTGGTGCTGAGTTGTCCTTTCCTTTCACATATCTGACACTGGAAACAAGCGTCTCGAGGAACTCGGATCGAACTTACTGTGGAGTCGCTGCTGACCCTACATCGACCACTCACTGCGCTCAAGATCTTGAACGGAGGCATGATGTTCATGGTCGCATACAGTACAGGACCCTGTCACAGAATTCTGCGCAGATGCGACGCAGTGCCTATGCAGTTCATTGAACGACAAGGGACAACCACAAAAGTGAGCTTGTCAGCATCGGCGTTGAGGAAGTCCCATTCCTCTTCCCCTGAATATCGGCGATGCTTCAATGATGAGGCTTCATATTCTGATGTGACGGAAGAGTCTTGATGGTAACTCTTGGCATTTTATGCATCCGCATTTTAAAGACATGTCGCGCAAATTCTGCCATGATCTGTTCAAGCCCGCTCGAAGCACTATGCAACTATGCTCTACCTGTCGTCAGAAGCATGTTTGCAGCACGGTCAGTGCCGTCATGTTGCCAACGTCAATATCAACATCTGACTCCTCAAGCCCTTTACTCCAGCGACGAGACCTCTGCACGACCCATGCGAAGGCTTGGTTCTGCCATGTGCGGGGCCTCGAAATTTACAGGATCCTGAATGCCAGCACTCTTTGCAATTTCCCTCAACGATGTCGCTGCGGTGCTGCTAAAGCCGAAAATCTCTGAAGACCCCCTGTGGAGTTGAGAAGGCATAGGCATGAGACACTGACCTCTCGAGGCGTGCAGGGGCGCCGGGATGTTGCAAATCTGCTTCTCTGCGAAGTCGTGCTCAATAAAGGGTGACGTCTGCTTAGATACAGATCCTGTGCAACAGGCCCGAAACTGAAGCTCTTGACGGCTGGCCCTATTGACTGCTCTCTGCAAAGTCACCACTCTGCTGCATGAGTGGGCACATGAGGGCACATGCCACACAAGAGCCAGCGCCAGCCTTCGTCACCGAGAATAACTCGAAACTTTAGCGTCGGATGTGTGCAGTCATTGATGCTTTGGACACATCCTTAGGTCAGGACGGCATGAGACACAGAGGCGTAAAGCAGTTCTCTGAGGACACATGCATGGCATGTTGCGCAAGACGCCTTTTCCGTACAGTGGAGCTGGAAATGGAACATCGCGGTCAGGGTACTCAATGCCACATATCCTTTCCCCTTAGCCTTCTTGAATGAAGAACCTTAGATGCACGGAGCAGCGACTGCGCCGACTGTCGTCTCATGTCGCTCTGCTCTGCTTGCGGTTGCGCCACAGTGGCGGTTCGATGACACCGACCTCGGGGCCACGGCTCTGGCCCCCGCCCCCAAAAAACTGAGCTTGACATTTTTCACAGAGTTGAGCTGCGACAGCTCGGGAGTCCTCATGCTGCAACAAGTATAGACAAGTTTCGTTGCAAAAAGGTTCAGCTTGAACTCAACGTCGTGGCTGCCCATCGGGATGCGAAAGGATGGCGAGACCTGCGCAATCGGCTCTCATGTTTTGACAGATGCACTAGAACCGAATTATGCCAATTTCTGTCGTTCTGGGTGTTGCCTTTGTGGTGGGTCTCGGACTGTCTCAACATGGACCAGGAGCCGGAGACAGGCTCTTAGCGATGCTTTGACAACTGCTCTTTGCTTATCCGACAGTTCGTAGGAGAAAAATGTTGCAGCTTTGGAGTGGCCCTGGCCATGCTATGCAAGCTTCGGTGCTTCGCAGCAGGCTGAAAAACAGGAGCCTTCTCCCGGTCTTTGTTCTTGCCTTAGACGGCTTCACGGTGAGGCAAGTGCACCGAATCGCAGAGATTTGGACGGAGTTCAGAGGTCTGGCTGCTACATCAAAGGAAATGCCAGACATGACCCGGTGCTGTGCCTAGAAATCCACCTGCCGACCCAGGATCCCTTCATATGCCTTCACTCTTGTCTCTTCTTGTCTCTTCTCAAACAGCTCCTTCAGTGACACTCGGCCGGGCCCAGCTCGGGCGCTTTTGCAGAGCTGGGCGACTCTTGCACGTTTCCCTGGCCGAAGCCTTAAATCCCTGCTTCCACCCTCCATCCAAAACCTTAAAGCGCAGATCCCAAAACTCCCGACCGCATGGACCCCTAATCCTTGGAGGTCCGCAACGCGCAAGCCGCTGGAATCAAGACACCCAGCCCTCCAATTCCGCAACATTCAAAAAGCATGCTAGAAGTTCAAGACCTTCTCCATTGCATATCCATCGTCAGAGAGATAATGGGTCCTGTGCATACCATGTTACCTCATGTTACCTCTTTACGCGTAGTCAGCACAGGAAACCCACATGTAGTGAGATCATGCGCGTGAGCAGCCCTTGTCGTCTGCAAACCTGGCTGCTGGTCAGGCTGGCTTTCTCGAGGGTCCACACGATTCGGCGCGGATCACTGGCGTCCACCCCCTGGGCGGGCCTTTCAGCATTTCATGTTGGGCGGAGTCAGTCTCAAGGAGGAGCATAGGTCTGCGCCGCCTACGCTGAGAGTTTGATCGCTCGCTACAGCCCTCGTGTTCCCGAGCACTTTCCAGTGGCAAAGCTCCTTAACCAGCTGCATCCGATATGTATGAAGACGACTTGGAGAAAGCCAGCCAGTTTGTCGAGCTTGTGCTAGCTTACGTTCGGGACAAGATGACACCCGAGAACGCTCCAAAAAGCAATCCTCGTCGGACTGCCGAACCATTAGCGAGGCAGGGCACATGCCCAACACAGATTCGGAAAGTTACGACTTGACAGTACAGGCCTTTCGTAGGTCTGGCTGGACAGCGAACCCATCCTCGACCAAGTTTGCATCGCACAGATGGCACGGGGAGGAAATCTTTGGCTGCCAAGTGTTTGCAGGTTCTGTCGTCCCTTCGGCAAGCATGAACCAAGAGGACACAAGCACAGTGCTCAGGTCATATGCTGAACGATGCAGTGCATGTAGCTCGCTGCGTGAGGAATTCACAAGCAGCGTCTTATCAAACGCACCCTTCCACCCTTCATCTCCAATCGAGACCTCTTAAGCCCGGCCCCTCATTATCCCAATCTGCCCCAAGCAAAATCCCAATCTGCCCGTGAACCTGCCGACGATCTGCATCCAAGTAGCTTCTCATGCGTGATCCAAAAACCTGACATCTCCGCGTGCTTGCCTGAGATGCATGCTCCGCACCGAAGCAAAGCCCGGAGCCAAAGCCCACGACTTCCCCGAAGCGTGGACCGATACCCTGCAAAGAGCAGTTCCCAAGCTTCGAGCTTTACCTCGAGCTTGATGAGCTAGCAACTGGGCTAGTGAAAACTCCGGACATCTACCTCCAAGGAATCTGTGCCAAGCCACGACCTCGAGGCTTTCCGGCTTTCCTCATGTGCTTCATGACCCTGGTTGTGCATGCTGTGCTGCAGCGGCTCAAGAGCTTGCAGGACTGTCGTCACATGCTAGCAGCTCGCGTGACTCGTCTTGGACTCTGATGCTATTCAGCTCTGTGGCGTTGGCACCGAGAAGTCATATCCAGCGTCGCAATAGCCAAATGCAGAAATGAATGTCGCAGGGTTAATTTGCCACTGCTCCTGAGCTGGCGAGTTACGGCGCAGTCAATTCGTGGTGTCTCCCCTACGCTTCAATTTGGCTTCCTGGTGACTGTGTAATTTGCCCTTGAGACAGACCGTACCACGGACGCGGAGCTGCGCTCGTAAGGTATGTGCATTTTCTTGAGTGTTTGCGCTTGTTTGCTTATGTGTGTTTGTGGGTGGAGGCGGAGAGGGGGGTCATGAGATGCTCCGCCATTTTCTAATATAGCCGCAACAAAAATCAACAGATGAGTCAAAATGACGGTATCAACACCGAAAGACATCCCTGATTGTGGGATCTAAGGTTTGCCTTCCGCTACTTGGTCACTTGTCTCGTTGAGTCTTGAACCTAATCACCTCACTTCTGTCGTCGTAAAGCCACAGAAGTCCTGAGTTTGCGTGTGTTTCAACTTCGCCGGCAGAACATGTCTTCCAAAAAGAAGAAGCTGTGATCCCCAGAGATGAATCCCTCGCTGTCTCATGACGGATGAATCAACCTGTAGATCAGACACGACAAGAATCATGCAGCTGAAATCCATCAGACGTACATGCTCTGTTCCTGGTCGTTTCCGCAAAGCAAAAACCGTGCGAATCCCGTTGATTAACTGCCAGGCATCCTCGTAGTATGTGTAGCCGGGCGACTGCCACGATCCTCGACTTGCAGTTTGACATCGGCACCGTCTATACTTGAAACTTTCAGGATTCTAAGACTGCATCAGAGAGGCCGCACGGAATTCATCCGATGTGAGATATGCCAGGAGCGAAATCGTGAATGGCTACCAAGCGTCTTGCTTTTGTCTGGCTCTGCAGCACGGCTCCACGCATGCTGTGTTGGACTATCAGTTTCAATAGTCCAAGCCACAACAGCTGTGGCCGAAGCTCCAAGATAGAAAGTACATTGCAACCTCACCTCTTTTTGCAGCTCGGAGGCCATGAAACATCCCACCATCCTTCCGAAACGCAGGAACAGGATGATGCAGGAGAGCTGTAGTGCATGCTCTGATGCCGGGTGAAAGGCTGCACTCCAACTAGATTCTACCTAGCCTCTAGCTGCAGGACGAGCTTATGATAGCTTCTGCACGGCACACACTTTACGAAAAATGCCCCCCCCCAAGATCATGGCTCCAAATCCGGCCCAGTTTCGGAGACCTGACCCGGCATGGGATGCCCTGAGCGGTGCGAGGTCCGCCACGCGGGCAGGCAGGATTTTGCAACAGGTGTGCACAACACTGCGCTTCTCGATCAGCTCTTTTGCAGTTCCAGGAAGCTGGGTATCATACGCGTCTCTACACATGTACTACGTCCATAACCAAATCCGGGGAATGGTGCATGCTATTGGACCAAGCAACCCTAAGCCAGCTGCATCCTCAAACCCGCTGGGACTCCCAACAAACTTTGCTGCCAAGCTGCCGTATTGAAAGCCATAATAGCCTTGATAGCTTTCTTCCAGCTCGATGGGAGCATCCTGCCACATATCCATATTATGCTGCGGTTGTTGCAGCACTGTACAGAGAGCAAGCGATCCCTGTGCCTCTTGAAAGACTAGGACTAGGAATCACCGGAGGTGCAATGTCTCTATCCAGAAAGCATCTACGACTGCAATGGGGCACAGCACTTCGCCCTAAAAAAGGCCTGCCCTTCCGGGCAGAGCCTCTTCCCTTGCATTTGCTAGTCCCTGTCCATCTCGCTGTGCAAGCCCGGAGGTAGCGTCAGTGCCCTGATTGTCTCGACTTTTCGGGTGAACAATCGAAGATTTCGTCTGCATCTTGAAACTGCACGCTCTTGCAAAGCGCAGTCTGCGCAAGGGCATGAGGCACAATAGAAGATCATCCCCACTTTGCCATAGAAAACACGAAACACAACGTTTACCATCGCGCAGTCACGCCATGCCTTAATACATGCAACACGAGCCGTACTTGTAGAAAATCCTTCCCTACATGGAGCTGTTGCCCAGGAGCGTGGAAGAGTAGTCTGCCACTCGTTCCACTGTGTCTGCCGGAGACTCCTTCGAGTTCATAGCTTCCTGAGTTGAGGGCGATAAGGGGCAAGGAGGATCCAAGACCCAAGCTGTAGCCCTCAGGGCAAGGGCCACTCGTCAATTGTAGCACGCGATTTTTGGAGCCATCTGCTAGGTTCCGTTCACTGCAGCAACGCAAGGGCAGGGCGGCACCCGTCCGAGCAGCTTGTGTCTTGTGGCTGGAACTGCGCCACAGGAGCTGTACCGTAATGTAGGGCCCTGAACGAAAATTCCTCTGCAGTGCGAGCAGCCAAGATTGCAGAAGTTGGGTCCAGCTGTTCCCATTCCTCCTGCATTTATCGGCCGCTTGTTCCATGCATGCGTATGCACGGCGGCGAGAGAGAGAGAGAGAGCGAGAGAGCGAGAGAGCGAGAGAGAGAGAGAGGGAGGGAGACAAAGAGAGAGCTTGAGCTTGCACAGCTCTCAAACGACTCTCCAATAATTGTTAATGCCGGGCCCTTGCAAGCAGTTGCAGAAACTTCGCTTGAGAATGGCTGGCGAGACCTCGACATCGACATGGTCGTCCTTGGCAAAGAAGTTTCGAACAAAGACGCAAGCACAAACCAAAGCACTCGCAGAGAGTTCGAGTGCAGGCCACGGAACATGACAAACAAACTGCCTGGAAGCCGCTGTTCATCCCGGACGCAACCAAACTGGTTCTGATTGCAGGACAGTGATGCGTACCAGCCAGGCTACTGCTACTAGTACATTTGATATCCTGCACACTATACATCCTTCTGGCACTCAAGCGCTTTGCAGACAAGTGGCTGAGAGACTTTGCTGCTCTGTCGCAGGGTCCTGCTCTGGAACGGTGACGGGCATAGAGAAATACATCATGCAATCAGTGCAGCATATAGTCTGCAATCCTTTTGTCGAAAAGGAACAAGACGGTCTCGCAGTCGGAAAGCAGCGTTCCAGCTAATTCCACGGATACTGAAGACCGGAACCCTGCCATCTTGCACATGCCGGTGTTTGGCGGTTCTGCGTATTATTACTGTTATTTTTTGCTAGTATACAGTATATTACTAATATTCACACCAAGCACGGGAAAAAAGGCCACAGGTGCAACAAAATAATGGCTACAAAAATAGGCCCTCCTTCTGCGAAGACAAGTGCTTTCAGCAACAAATGGCAGCATAAGGCAGTGCAAGTAGAGCTCTACAGTAGCTGGAGGCCCAGAACCCGGACGCGGTGAACCCCAACGCAAGGCCTGAATCCAAAACGTCTTCTGACAGGCTCAAGAAGAGGATGGGATGCGTATATAAGAGACGCCTGGACGAAGACGCCGAGCCCGAGCCCAGGATCACTCGGATCGGCCGGCCTGCACAGCAAAGATCCAGCGGCACTGCCCGGAATTTGCAGCTTGCATTCCAGTCTTGAATCAGCTTGCTGGGCTCGGCCAAACACCACGAGCCGGAAACGGATATTGCGAAATATGCGTACCCGCCAACCCAGACCACTAAAACAACACACGTACTGATGTTTGGACTGTATGTATCTCCACAAATGTCTGTCCGCTGCTGCCTGTGTATGCGTCTGTGTGTAGATTTGGGATGGTATGGATACGGTTACGGTTACGGTCATGGTTAGCCATGGCAGGGCACGGCATGGTACGTGCGGTGTATGCATGCATTAACATCCCTGCATCTATTCATCGGTGCGTCTGTCTGCTTCAAGAAGACCAGCTTCTTCAAGAACAGCATCAACCTGTGTTATCTCGCTTTCAATTACTATCGCTACCAGTGGCTGTGCCAACATGTGTTGGACCGAATGTTGGCCCGAACTCCTGCATTGCAAAATGTGCGGATGATACTCTTTGGTGAGCTTCTTGAAATGTCCTTTGCACACCAAATCAAAACGTCAATTGGCTACCTTTGTGGCTTTCGCACTTTTGATCACATGTGGACAAGGTTACATACCCTAATTGACTTCCGTGGATCGAAAGATTCTTGGCAATCTGCTGAGCGCTCCTGCACATTCTTCAGAAATCATGGAACGTGGCATGGCTGTGTCAATCCGTTCATAAGGACAGGCAGTCATCTCGGTGAATTTTGATGCAACTCGACCAGCACAGACAACATTGAAGCCGATCATGATACCCGAGCTGTGTCTGTTTGGGCACTTGCTCCGTTTTGTTCCAATGGTGCTGAGCTTTAGTCAGATAAAGCTGTGATGTCCCAGCAAATACTCCTCATCGTGCAGCTCCCTCAGTTGATCCTTTAGGAGGGCCCCGGTTGAGACGTTGAGATTACACGACAAGAACAAGCGCTCAGGCTTTGCTGCTCTGAAGTATCGTACTGGCACCTCTGACATGGAAAGGGTCCACTGCGCAGTTCAGATCACACCAGGACCTTCTCGAACACAAGAAAGTGCAGACCGTACGTAATGGATAAGAGGACCGCGAAGTTCTGAACAAGGGACCGGCAATGTGTAGAACCCCAATCTCTGTTCAAGCTGAACACCCCACATGCCACGATGTCACAAGTAACTGTGCAAGAAGTCGGCCCCTCGCCTAGCCCAAACGCTCAAGAAATGCTAAGTAAGGAGAAGCGAAGACTCACAGTAGGGTTCAGGCTTAGGGCTTCAGGTTAACGGTACGGCCTAAGAAACCAGCAACTACAACTTGCCCGCATCCGTGAAGGTGAAGCAACGCTGCCTCTTTGAGCTTTCCGTCTGTACAACTCCCGGCCCATCAACGTCCACAAAACGCTTCACCTCGGATGTGGCTGTTGCCTGTGAACATGTATGTCGGAACATCATGACATCGGTGAAGATCTGCTAAAAGCTTGCTCAGCCTCAGTCCACAACAATCATGCGGCGTGAGTCATGACAGTATCATCATGTCAGTTGCCTGTTCGGAAACCTTTGCTTGGAAAATCGATGCCCCTTATGGAAAGGGCACGACATTGCAAGCAATCTTCAGTTCATATGCACGCTGAGGCAATCGCGGAGTCATATCCACCATTTGTCATGACCTCAGTACGCTTTCTGATTCTTGGTTGCCGAGTTGAATGAAGATGTTCAAGCTTTTGGAGCATGCGTTTACATGTCTTGTTCGGCGAGGGCATGAGAGGGAGGGGGAGGGAGAAGGGATATGAGAGGGGGCCAGTTGCAATGAGCAGCTCGTAGCTTCGCCCACTCCCTGGGCGCTGCCAGCTGCTGGCACTGGCACGTCTACTCGCAGCACTCCTCTTGATTCTTGATCTTCTGGGACTGTCCGTGGAGCTTGACTTGGTACAAAGTGAGCTGTGTTTCTTTTTGCTGCAAGAACCTATCATCACGGTTCATTGCCGGAGCTTTCTGTTGAAAACTTGCAGGACTACCGTGCGCCGCAGGGTTAGGTAACACGCCACGCTGCTCTGTACAGCTTGAGCAGGAATGGCTGGCAGGACATGAGGTAGCCATATGGCGTGCACGTCTGGAAAATCATGTGCTTAGATTCCAGTTTGTTAGACGGCCTCTCGGATGACTGTTGCTCTCAAACAGAACCTACCTCCCTTCAACTGCCGCAAATCCGCCTGACGGACTGTGGGGCCGATTGACAAGAGCACAAGGAACTCCTGCACCACCAGGGGGCATTGTCCATAAAGTGCCGAGTGTTGTGGGGCCTTTGGCAAGCTGCCGGCTTATTCTTGGCTCACATACACGACACCCTCAACCCTCGACGCTAAATCCAAAACCGCATGCATTTGGAGACTGCGCCGACATGCCCACCCGAATTGTTCCACTCTTTGCCAAGGCATTGGAAGTTGCATGGCAACCTTAGCTCAATGTGGACCTGCCTCGGGCTGCTGTTGCATGTGTCTATCTTGGCCCTAGGCTGAAGACTCTTGCAAGTGTCGGTGCAGGTTCCCAGGATCCCCTCAAAGACCACAGCCACATGATCTAGAGGCTGAATGCAGAACTGCGCGAGCTGGTGCAGGGCAATGCGCAGGCTGCGCCAAAGCTTTTGCAGCTTGAATACATTTGCGCAGCGTCAATGGGCTTGTCTGTTTTAGTCAATCTAGTCAGATTGCTGCAAAGCCGACAAGGGCCAGAGTCTCGGAGCCCAACCCTTCGAATCGACCAAATTCCCCTCTTGTGCCTTGAATCGCCAGAGAAAGGCCGCAAGGAAACCTGTGCTGAGCGCAGGAAGCTTCAACTTCATGAGGTGTGCGACATTCTTGCAGCTGGACCGGCGCCAGCTGACTAAACGATGCTCCCCTTTACACATCCCAGGCAAGCTTGTTTTCGGCATTCTCGCAACGTGTACATCTGAAACCTTGGGGCACTGCTGGCCTCGAGCTGGTTGGCCAAGGCCTCAAGCCCTTCCAACAGCAAGTGGGCCACACCTTGGACAGGGCGAACGCACGGAAATACCTGGTTAGGTCTTACTGAAGGCCGCGCACCGTGTTTACTGGGCTTTGGCCGATAGCACCTCTGTCAGTGTTTAGGGTAGAAACGGCTTCAGGCCCAGTAGATTCTTACCACAGTCCCTTGTGTGTCTGTGCGTGCGTGCCTGCGCCCTCGTGAGCTCTTGCGTGCGTGCGTCCGTTCGTGTGTCTGTGCGGGCGCGCGTGCAAGCGTGGGCCTGTGTAAACAGTGTAGCCGTGGTTGGAGGCTTTGGGGAGTTTGGTGCTACAGGCTTGGGGTTGCGGTTGACGGGTGTCGTCACTCACGGTGGCACATGCAAGACAGATAAGGCTGTAGGGGAAGGTCTGCGCATTGGGGGCTTAGGGGTCTCGGGTTTTGGGGTCTGGGGTCCGTTAATGCTTTGAATCAGCAACCGAGCCGATGCTTGCTGAGGGAAGTGATCGTTTGAAAAACGTCCCTGACATGAGCATACGCTTGCCGTGGCCCGGCGCCTCCCCATCCCTCCAACAACTAGTTGAGAATATAGCTTCAAACAAATCTCCCGTAGAGTACACCACCCCTTCCGATTTACTTCAGGCTCCCCTGATCCTGATGGAAGTGTACAAAGGGATGCGCACACACAGATTGTAGCGCACATTGGGACTCTGGTGGGGAGAGCTATGCCACTTTTTGGGATTGGACCGCAGTCATGAGATGGAGCCCAAACGCAACCGGACATCTTCAGGAAGCAACCTCTCTGCGTTCAACCCCCCAAGGTTTCGTAGCATAACTGGTCTAAGCGGGCCCATTCTACAGAGGTAGGGGACGCACATGCTGCCGTCATGGGCTCTGAGGCTCTTGGCTTAAGGAAGCGTTCTTGTGGAAGCCCAGCACCATTAAACAATGTACGATGGAAGGAAGGTCTCTGTACATTTGGCGGATATGTAATAATGTGCATCAGCATACGGCCGGTGTATCATACATGACTTAGGAGGGGATCTATGGAATCCTGACGGACACGTCTGTGCAGTCTGCTTGCTTTGCTAGGCTCAACTGAAGCCGTGGACAGCGGCCCGAGGCGGGGCACCAGAGGGTATTTCAGGAACGTAAACTTCACCGTTGGATCGAACCTTGGACCCGGAACCGTGAAACACCTCAGGGACTCATGCAGCAGGGACTCTGGCACATTCCAGCACTGCAGTCTTTCGGGTTGTTTTGAATATGAGGCTCCTCCGCACGAGGCCGTGCGATAGGCTCGGAACTTGTGGCAACTGCGTCGCTGTTCTGCGCAGACGTTGGCTCTTTTATAACGGATTGCAGGGGCAGCATTTGTGGACGGGGGCCGGGTGCTTGACGTGCTGTGCTTCGACGCTGGCTCGGATGAAACCAGTGATCCTCTACCTCGACTCTACGTGTCTTTGGTTTTTGACAAGCCGGTTTGTCCTCTTGGCCCGAATTTAGTCTCCCAAATCCATTCCACCCCACCACATCACACCTCAGCCCACCCAACAGAACTGCTATGGCCGCAGATGCACGAACATTACACGCCAGATGCTGGAATACTTGTATTCCGATGGCAACATTCTGCTCAACACATCCTGCATGTTTGGAGATGGCTCACTCCTTCCAAGAGGCCTAAGCCAGGAAAGAACTTTACTCGACGAGTTCGAGACTGCACAACCGTTCCGAGGTATGAATCATGGGCGGTCGTTGCGGCTTTTGTGAGTTCTTGTCAGGCAAGAGCATGAGATGTGAGCCGTGACCAGAGGTCGCGCAATGCAAGGCGGAGAACATGTCCTCTCAAGAGGGCTTACGGAGTTCAATCGAGAGCTTGTTTGAACTGCCGCATTCTCGCTGAGGTGAAAAGAAAGGGTCGGGGGACTGTTTCGTTCTGATGCTGTGTTCATGATGCTGTTATCAATTCGAATGCTCTTGTCACCTGCTAACGTAGCTGCGGGACATTGCTTGACGGAAGGAACGTCAAGTTTGCACGTGCCTGTTGGGTAGTGTGAATGGGCTTATGACTGTGGAACAAGGCAATGAGGTTGCCAATGCTTTCCCCAGTCTGCCAAGCATGGGAGAGGTTGCCATCTCACGATCAGGCCACTGAGCGACCAATGAGGCGGATACGGATGCAGCTGTTGCCTCGGATCTCTCAAGCATGAGAGAGTGAGTCGATGAGTGAGTCAGTGTGAATGATGCTCTTCGTCATGAACCTGGCTTGACGGATTTCGTTCGACGTTTCATTTTGAGGGCTTCCTGCTGTAGCGCAGGTAGGCTCATGTCCCACCGAGATTATGCCTTTGGCAATCGAGCCTTGCTTTGCAGGGTATACCTTAACACCACCAATCTATATGTCTTGTGAAGGCTCTTTCCTTCGCCTTCGGTGGAGGTATCCCTCCTGATAGTGGTTCTCAGGCCGGTGCTGACAGCACCACTCGACTCAATCTTCAGAATCTGTGAAGAGCACCTGGAATTCTCAGGGATAAAGCGAAAGCGGTTACTACCAAACAGTGATCGAAGACAGTCTGCAGTCTGCAACGAAACACTGCTTTCGTCTGCGGCCAAGGTTGCGAGAAGGGACGCCCCGGTGCGGTCGCAAAGTGAGCGAACTCCACCCCAAAGGCCGACTTGCCGATGCCCTGAAGGCGATGACAGGCCCAAAGGGAGTTCACTTACGAACTCCTTGCAGGTCGGACCAGCAAAGAGCTTATCTAGCTCGGAAGCCCGAAGTCACAGGAGCACGTCCAATCCCGACGGTTTGAAGCGCGATGCCTCAGCACCCCAAACGGTACAGGCACGACGGCTGTCATGGCCGCTGAGCAGGTGGAGAACCTCGGGGGTGCACCGGAGGATTTGTGCTCTGAAGTGAAGGGCTCAGCATGCGGGTAATGCAGCAATGTACAGCCTGCAAAGAAAATCGCTGAAGCACCTGCGAACATCAATCCTTTCAAAATCGAGAGCACGAAGGCTGTGACAACAACTGTAAACAGTTCAACCTGAGTCACTGAGGCATGAAACCCTAAACCATCAGCGTCCAGCGTGTGCAAGAGGAAGCGCCTCATGGATGAATTGCGGACGGCCCAGGAAGTTCTCCGGCCTCAAGCATTCAGGATGTTCTGCCGGCTTTACACAACATTACACAACCAGGGCTTTGGTTTAAATGGTCCTCTCCAGGCCTACATCGGAGGTTCCTCTCGACTGTTTATCTCCTAGAGCCGCGCAGTCGCACACGTTGCCTGGGTGGTATCAGCGACTCGGCGACGAGGAAGCGGGAAGCAGCCTCAGGGGATTGTCAGGCCGCGGAATCGAGATAATGCCTCTGTCCCTTTCTTCTAACACATCCCCCACCCCCACCCCCTCCCCCAACCCCAGTAGTCAGTAGGCATTGTGATTCAGCCTGGATCTGCCCCGTGATGACTGCAACTCACAACAGATAACAAGTACTAGGTTACTAGGAGGAATGAGCAACAGGACGAATAGGAAAATACCAGAGTAGCACCAGCCGCAATCAAACGTAGTCATGTCAACATGGTGGGGCTGTAATGGGTATCATCGTTATCATCAGTCATAGTGGCGGTGGTGGTGGTGGTGGTCGTAGTAGTATAGTAGTAGTAGTAGTAGTAGTAGTAGTAGTAGTAGGTGTAGTAGGTAGTATAGGTAGTAGTAGTAGTAGTAGTAGTCGTCGTCGTCGTCCTCCTCCTCCTCGTCGTCGTGAGGAGGAGGAGCAGTGTGGTTCTGGATTCTGTTCCAGGCTTGAATTCAACGAGGGTTGTTCTATATCCTTGTTCCACGCATGCCAATTAGGATCTTGCGCTTCGCCCTTGCGAGTTCCTTGGGCGTGCTTGCGCGCGCGCGGATTTTGTTGAAGACTGTGGCTTGTTGATCCTTGGTGGCGTCGAGCCTAACCTTCGGCTGCGGGTAAAACACTGGGGCTTCAAGGCTAATCTACCTACAACACTGCTCAGTATCACCCTTGAACCAGCCTTAACAAGCCTTGAGCATAGCTTGCGCTCGCCCTTGCGCGCGATCGAAAGGGTGTGCACTTTTTAAGAGACCGAGTTTTCGTTAATCGCCCTCCTAGTATTGTCAAAAGAACCACCCGAAAACAACAACGCGCAACTATGTCTCGACTCCGTTGGTGCCCACAAGCCTGGATTGCCACAGAAGCCCCCCTGCACGACTATATCATGTCTTACTGCTTTTGCACAAGGTGCCTCCAGCTTGCGCAGACTGCCGACCTCTGGTTTCTCGGCCTCACTTGACTTCATGGTTTGATGAATTCTCTCTTCAGAAGTCTTTTCTGGATGTCAGGCGTACTGGCAGGAGTTCAAGCTCAGGGTTCGAAGACGAGACCCGTCAGTGTCTGACTAGACTCTTCTCTTTTGAGCAAGTTTCTTCTTGTCTAGATCTGAACTATACGACGGCTCAGAGTGTGATGTATCTTCGGCTGTCTTCCCATCGAATGTTATGGAGCCTGCTGCCGTATTGAATCCTGTGCAGAAGTTCCAGTGATGCCCGTGGTCCGTGAACTGCAGCCATTCCTACCACACATTGTTTGTGTTAGCCCGCATTGCACGCCCTTCACTTCGATCCGGGGTGCAATACTTTCTGCAGGCTTTATGATAAGCGTGGTCGTATTCATCGACTTACGGGTCAAGATAAAGCTCACTTGTCTTTTCAACCTACGGTATGAGCGCTGTTGACATGACGGAAACATCTGTCCAAGGTTTGCCGCAGGCTTAAGCAGGTAACATTGTGACTTGCGCATCCGGTGCACGTGCGGAAATTGCTTCAATCAGGTCATGGACCTCTTCGCCACAAAGCTCCGAGAGGGTCACCTTTCCGATAGCAACATTTCGCTGGCCAAGCTATGCAGGTGAGCTTCCACAGTGCTGAATCAAGGGCTAGAGTCTAGAGGAGTCCAGCTAGAGACCGAGGCTTCGGGCCAGTTCCAGGAACTCACGGCCCAACGGAAGCCGATTCTGATTCGCTGTCTGATCACTCTGACCATCTTCAAGGCAAGAAGAGGCCATGGCAGCACTCCCAATGCACCCAAGCTGGCACATGAAAAGCTGGTCTGACCCCTCTAGAAGCTGGGCGTTTATGCCTGCAAAAAACAGTGCCTCAGGAAGTACAATGTGGATGATACGGCCATATTGATGCCCACCAATGTATTCCTCCCCAAGCCGTCAACGCACAATCCACCGCGAGCGAACCCCGAACTTCAGGACGGAAGCGCTTCTCAGAGCTGTATGCGCAATCAACCTCACCTAATCTTCCCTTCTTCCTTCAAAAGACTGCTCATGCTGCGACACGAAAACCTGACATGGTTTGCATGCAGCCAATCATAGCGAATCAGTTCGCCTGCCTTGTCCGCTCCGCGCTGGCCAAAGAGGACAAAGTGATCAGCCTGGAGCGATTCGAAACATTGTAAAGCGCTCCATAGACTTGTGAAGACCTGGGATGCATGAACAAGCGTGTCTGACCAACACCACAACCTTTGATGACTGCTTGATTTCAAAAGCCGAGATACGAATGCTGCTTACGTATGTCTTCTGGCACGCACTACATACCCCGGCAGGGGGGTCCGGTGCATCTTTGCTTTTTCCTGTTGCTGTTGTTGTTGCTGCTGTTATCGTTGCTGCTGTTGCTATTGTTGTTGTTGCTGCTGCTGGTGTTGCTGTTGTTGCTGTTGTTGTTGCCTGAAGATGAAGCCCTACAGCAGGGAAGGCAAAGCAAACCCTAAAGTCGTCCCGAAGATTCAACCCTAAAACGAGGAAGACAAAGCAAACCCCAAAGTCGTCCCGAAGATGAGACCCTAGAGGGAATAAAGCAGAGCAAACCCTTAATTCGTCCCTAAAATGAAACCCTAAAGTCGTCCGAAGATAAAACCAGAAATGCCCCGAGGATGTAGCCATCACAAAGCCCTAAAGCGAGAGCAAACCCTAAACTCGTCCCTAAGCTGAAACCCTGGGTTACAGGCGAGCTAAACCCGGAAGCCCGGTCCAAAGAGTTACAACCGGCGCAACATGCGAGCCCAAAAAGCGACGACCCTCAAGAGCGAAGAACGACACAGCGAGTACAGGGAAATGACAGAGGCGAATGGGCAGCGCTCTTGAACGTCACACGATGTAAGGTCTCCTTACTAGTATCACTGCTATAACACCCGGATATACACTCACCAAATTGAGCAAGTGAGACTTGGACCAAGCCGCAAAAAGAAGAGAAGGGCGGAACATCCGAAATAGCAACACGAACGGTCGCGGGTCGCTTCTCCTGCTCCGCAAGCTCGGGCTTGGAATCGGTGCAAAGCCAGCTCCTGGAGTGATTGGTGAATGTAGAAGGAACTCGCGGACATTCGCGGACTCTCAGGCTTTTCCTTTAACTTTAAAACTGCTTCAACACAGCACGAAGCAGATTTCCTGTCAGCCTCTCAAGACGTGGCGACATCGGACTTCCGCTACCCCCTAGCGCTCCGTGCCGTCTGCCAAGCCGAGAGGAGCGACTCGCCCACTCCCAGGGAGAGGTAAAACTGCTGAGAAAACCTCAGACGTTGACTCTTTGGTGCTGATGACAGAAGCTTGCGGGGCTCCGTGCTTTGGCAGTAACTGCAGACTCCTACCTGCTGCAAAAATTATGCGAGGAGCCTCCGCGCGGCCACATCGTAGACCGGACTTCGCAAGCACACCACGTGAGGGCAACCGCACTCAACAAAGACCTGCACGCTCTTCATTGAATGGTAGGTAGGGGAACTTGACATGGCATCTCTGACCCTCCTTCCAGGCTTTAGGCGCAGCCCAGGGACACTCTTAGCCTGTGTTTTTGGGACGAGGTTACGTTGATACTCCAGCATAAACTGGTTTCTGCTGCAATGCGCCAGCTAGTTGCTATCCTCTGCAACAAACATTTCTAGCTAGCCACGTTACACGGCCTGTGGCTGACAGGACCATACCAAAAATCAAAACAGAAACTGAGCATGTTGTTGATCGCTGCACTGCAAAGAAGACCTCTCAACTGCCTTCAGGGTTTTGGGATGAGGGTTTTCGGATCCTCACTGTCTTGGCAAGCAGAAGACTCTTAAAGGATTCTTGACAAGTAGAGGGATGTGGGGTGTTCTCTATATATATATATATACATACATACATACATACATACATACATACATACATACATACATACATACATACATGATTTTGGTCACTATCGATAGCAACAGACGCGGCCACGGTCGAGCATTGGTTTATCAACACAGCCCGCCTGGTTTAGCTTCTACCGGAAAGGACAGCTGTCTTTGCTTACTGCTCAAAACGCGTCATACGAACCGAATTCGTCTGCGATCGAATGAAGCTGCACCGAGCACGAGTCGATTGCGACAACACAAAGTCGAGAGTTACGTCGTTCATGCATGGTGTGTACTCCGCAGGACTGGAGCCGGGGAGGTAGCGCACGACTTTAAGAATCGAAAGATCGGGGTACTTTGAGCTTCACGTGTGAAGCTGATCCTAAACACTCATAATCACATCTTTGTATTCTCTTGCTCCGCAACATTCAAGCCGTGTATATGTCCTGTCAAAACAAGCATCTGTTGAATGCTCGCAGCAGGCAGCGCCAAACTCCTCATCCCAACAGGTGCGCGGGCCTGCAATGCGAATCCAAACTACGTATTCCAAAGGTGGACGCGGAGGGTAACTCGGTTGGACTTTGCCTGCTTTTTGAAGGTCCACTCTGCTCTTCTCCACAAACGCATTACGCAGCAAGAAGCTCTGCTGCTGTACCTCTGCGGCGTCGCCCCGAAGGGTGAGGTGCAGCTCGGTCCCCTTCGTGGATAGCCGGAGAAGAGCTTGGGCACCGCAAGGGCTCTGCAACACGCCCTCCGATGAAACGATGAGGTCGAAGTGCCCGAATTCTTCCACTTGAGAAAGCTCACAGAAGTCCAAGCTTGCTGAACCCAAATTCGCGTCAACACCCGTGAGTTCGCTGTGTTTTCGCCGCAGCTCCGGATCGACCACGCCGGGCAAATCCGTGGCCAGCATCGCTCTGCAGCGCGAAGCCAGCACCAGGGAAGGCAGAGCGAAGAAGCCAGCCGCCAACTCGATGCAACGGCCGAACGACGAGGCTTCTTTAAGCGAAGTCTCGGCGAAATGCCGCGAAAGAAACAAGGATCCCGGCCACAAAACTCCCGAGTAGCCAGCCATCAGATAAGACCAACCAAGGAGCTGCCTTTGCTGAAGGACGAGACGCTCTCTGAAGAAAGGTTGCAGATCCAACTGAAGAGTCGCGCTCTTCAAAGGCAAGAAACGGACAGGCCGCCCACCATGGGCCACGAGACCTTCATAGACAAAGTCGCAACAACGCTCGACAAAATTGTCGAAGCTCGAGAGGCCCAGAGATTTCCAACACCAAGGATTCCCTGAAAGCCGTTCGCGTGCGATGCCAGCGTTGGGGCCGGGCCGCTCTTGGCTGCGGTTTTTGATGCCTGGCTCCCGCAAGCGCTCTGGTCGACAGCAGTAACTGTAAAAGTCACCCAAGGTCAGGCCAAGAATCAAAGCACATGAAGCGCTGCTGTTGAAACTCTCAGCTGGCATCCGCCGGTGTGCATGGGATTGCATGGGTCACGTCAAGGGCTGCCATCCTATCACAAAGTGCATGCGTACTTGTCGTAAAGCTGTTACAGGTTCGGGGTGGGTTTTGAGCCTCGTTGCGGGGCAGCTTGCGACTCCAGCGCTCTCGTTTTCCCCCGAGCTCCGGACCTGGGCAAGCTCCTGCGACCAGCAGGTGCTCAGAAACAGCCTGGTGAGCTCCATGTGGCGAGGAAAGGAGGCAGCTCTGCAAAGCGATAAAACTTGTGATGCATGTCAAACCTGAAGACGCACATGTCCAAGAGCACTCCTGTCACTCTTGTCTGTGCCGGTGAAGTCGTTCAAGGCGCATGTGCCAACTTATCCCTTGCATTCTTTAAATTGATGAGTTTTGGCTCAGCTTCCACGGCAACTGAGACAGCGGCAGGGATACACTTCGAAGACCGCTTTCCTTCATACCGAGGATCTCCTGCAACAGAATGCTTCTTGGTGACGCCGCCGGGCCTCTTCGAGTTGTTGCAGTTCCCCGGTCAGTTGCTATCGATAGATACAGTTGTAGGTATCACGAGAAATCAAACCACAAACGGCCGAGTTTACCTGGTGCATCGACTCCCTTTACCGAAGCAATGCACCGAATCTGAGGCCTACTGGCAGGCCTCTAGCCGCTTCTTCCAAAGGACGTGCGCCTTCGCAACGAAGACTCGTTTGGATCAGCTGTTGGTATCATCGAAGCTGGAGGGAACATAATTTAGAATCCTGAATACCGCTACTTGTACTGAAGATGGGCTCGTCATGCATCCTTGGCTTGGCTACGAGAGCCGAACATCCATGGCGCCGTGCTTAAGAATTCGCCACATCGTGAGGGGGAGAGGCCCAAACTTAAAAAATGACGAGATGATCCCGTCGGGCGCTTAACTTATTCCCGAATTTAGTACATGGGACACACAAAGTAAGGCGTGACAGCACTGACAAGCACAGGCCTTGTAGGATCAAGTAAGCTGCCAGAAAACGAAACGTTCATCGATCAGAACACATTAGGACAGGCATGCAGCTGCTTGTAGGATCAACTGAAGCGAAGCCTGATTGTCCCATAGTGACAAGGACGCAAAGATTCGCAACTAACGGAATACGCTACAGGGATGGGCTTCAGCCATCATTTAATGCGCACAAAACACTGGATGCAACATGCACCTTCCCGCAGGAGTCTTCCAGCACCAGGCCAACATCGCCCTGGTCATGCTCAGATCTCAGGAGACTTACGATGCTCGTTCCGCAGCCGTAAGCCCATGCAACAAAAGGGCTGGAGCATTGCTGGTCGGAGGCGTCTCTGCTGGGTGCACGAAATCTAGTGAAGGCTTTGCTCCTGGCTGCGAGCTCATGTTCTTCTGTTTGTCTGTCACATTTGCGAATATCACAAGCTCACTCCATTCGTCTCAAGGTACCCGAAGCATTCCGAAGCCTTGTCGGAGCGGATTGAGTGTGCAGACAGATGAAGGACAAGGCCCTTCTGTGACTTCGCCAACGTCAGCAGCTTCCTCGGTGCTGGGTCGATGTCAACCCGACGAAACATCTGAACTCTTGAAAATACGGAGGGGCCCTTCAGGGAATCTGCCTGATCTACACCAGCCTTTGTAAAGCGCTTTCTTGCCAAGGCGTGCGCATTGTGCCATACAGCTTTTTCGGCAGACATGCTGTGGTGAGCCCTAAAGCCTTACAGAGCCTGCGCTTGACATCTTGCGGTCGCGGAGCGAGAGAGATTGCACAGTGGCCACGCCCACGTTTAGTCGAGCTCCCGAGCCAGATTCCTCAGTTTGCGAACGTCTGAGAGAAACCTTCCACAGGGCGCTTTCTTGCAAGCCGGTGGCTTCAAAGGCCTCCTGGATGGTCTCTACCTCCGACCTGAGCCACGCCACATGCCTTCCTTACATCATCGCTATTCCTTGCTGCCCTACAACGTGCATATACGTGCATGCAGGATGAAAGGGTTTGCTGTGCTGCCCCACCTCACATTGATGGCTGGATGGCCCAGTGGTGAGGCAAAGAGGCAGTACACCTGATTCCCATGCAAACAACAGCATGCAGATTCAGCCGAGGCTTCCTCGAACGGCATCGTGTCATACCTAGGACTTAGGGCACAAGTGCCCCATTAGTCTGCAAAGGACAGGTGGCACATTCAATCATATCTCCCGCCTCCTTGCAGTTGTCTTGGCTGGACACCCTCAAAAAAGAGGAGCCGTACGAAGACTCGTCGTTCACGGGAGGGCTGGAGCAGTTGGAAAAGCTACTCAAGCGGTACTCCGTGGTTGGCGTTGAATCAACGCTCAAGCCCTCCATATAGAACCTCGGTTGACGCAGGCACTGCCACGTGCCATCCGCAAAGCAAAGATGTCGAAAATGCTGGAAGGCACTGTCAATAGAACTTCAACAAATAACTTTCGAAGACCTTAAGGCACTCAAAATGCTGCCCAGGAGCCCCGGCGTATCATGCACGTCGCGAGGTGTATACAGCATCTCGCCATGGCTGCCAGATCCCAGTGAAGTTCCGGAGGGAGAACGCTTCTCCTAGGACCGGGCATCTTGCAAATCTATTCTCGTTACATAGCTGTTGATGGCTTTGTTAACTTATGGACTAGGACTGCCAGCTAGGATTTGTTTGTATGTGCGTGCGGCCTCCTAGTTGTGGGGTGGGTTGTGAGTGCAGGCGAGGAACAAATGCAAGCAAAACCGTTTTGTGCGACACTTCATGCGCTTCCCCGCCGTACGATGTAAGAAGGAACGAGGAGCACTCATGCATGAAACGAAGCCTGCTGCTGTATGCATACGCTTCTTACACGCCTACAATCTGCACAGGCATTGGTGCCATGCAAAGGGGCAGCTTGCCGCCAAGGCAGCCAGTTCTAACCAGAATAACCAGAGCCGCTGAAAAGGAGCGCGGGGAATTAACCGAACCGAATCGTCTGGGTGGCGGTTACTGGATTGAGTCGAAGCATGTGGTTGCCTGCATCGGTTGTATGTGAGACTCTGAGAGGCATCGGAGATTCGGAATTTTTTGTGGAAAAGGCTTTTGGCGGTTAGACTTTCGGAGGCTTTCCGCACACTTCAGGGGCTCAGGGGCTCAGGGGTTGTCTACCACCACAACTCAGACCTCCTGAAGCTGCATGGCCTAGACCTAGATACTATTAGATACTCCTAGATGTGTCTCTTCAGTGCCGAGTGTCGCGTGGAGCTCCCGGCGCGAAAAAGCTGGGCTGACAGCTTCGGCTGGCGCAGGCGCTGCCACCTCTCAGGTCGCAGAGCAGGCTCTGGCTTTGGGGTGACGCTTAGGCCTAAACTGTCTCATTGCAACATGCAACTTCACCGCAAGATACACAGGCCATCACAGGCCTATTATAGGCCCCTTCGGGATGTGTTTTGCCCTTGCCCATGCAATAAGAAGCGCTAGACCGATCCCAGAGTTCCTGCCTCCGTGATACGGGCACCTCATGCCATGGTCTTTGACGCTGGCAGTTCCAGACACAGACGGGAATTCGTCAGGTTCTTCGGGTCGGGGAAGACACGAGGAACACCCCACCTATGGGCTGGTGGGCTGCTCAGCCCCCGACCCCTCTGCCCGACGACGCGGCGACCGTGCGTGCGGCGACAAGCCGGCCTCGATGCAGGAGAGGTTCCACAGCACTGAAGGCGTCGAAGCCGTTCTTTGAGTTGACACTCTAACGGGCTTGACGAATCAGCACGCAGCAGAATGAGACTAGGAAGATCTGCAGGGGGCCTCGGATCTCCGGCAAAAATATTCACAGCTTCACGAAATTAATCTCGGAGAGCCTGCAGAATTGGGGCCTGGCGTCTTTAGCCTTCTTGTGGGACTGTGTCCGACGAAACGACATCAAAGCCTCTACAGTACACTGCTAGGGTTGGTGAAGTGTTGACAGCTCATATGTGCGACCGACAATAGCGTCGTTCTCTCTACTTCCCACATGCCTCGAGGATTCAAGCTCAACACCCAGGGGCAAGTTGTTGAAAGGCTATATCTCAAGCCTTCCCTTCATTGAGTTTCGGGCCACCTCTTCGGCAGCAGTTCTTCGCAGTCCCACTGCCTGGAAGCTTGCCCGGTCGGCATTTGGGAGTGGGTGGCAGCATGTGGATGTGGGTGCAGTGTCAAAGGCGGTCACACACGGGCGCTGTGGGTGTTGTTTGCAAGGCTGGCGGCTCTCTACGGTTCGGCGAAAGTGCAGGCTAGGAATTGGTCTGCGTCATCCTGCAAAGCTGGAGGCGTGCACAAGCCGCGGCAACGATCACATATCCTTCGCAGATCCTCAAGTTTTCTCCAACTCCTGGTGAGAAAAACTTTCTGCTGAACTCATCGCCTCGATTCGCCTGGGCATTGCATTTCTTACCCTCTCGGGCGCACGCCGACGGTTTCCTGCCGGATCCCAAGGGTGTGATACGCTTGGCCTCGGTTCAGTTTAGCAATGCTGAGCTCCGAGGCTCCGAAATCCCGAAGATCAGCCCTTTGCAAATAAAGCGAGACTTGGTCTATCTGCTGATATACCGTGGGAGCTAACACGTCCATTTATGGATGCTTCCTTCGTGAGGTCAGATGCATTGCTCAGCAAGAAAGCATGACAAAAGCTTCCCTCGAGACGCCGGCCTTTGGTATCTTGGCCTCAGGGCCCAACAGATGACGAGGTCAAATGATTTTCTCTGTTGCTCTGCACCAACGTGGCTCTCCATGATGTGGACTTAGAAACCGGAGGCGCGGCAGCGGCTCCTCTGTCAACTGTCCATGCCAGCGTCAACCCACAAAATCTGACTATTAGCCCAGCGCCCATCAATCATCTCAGGCCAGCACGCGCACCTCCTCGAAAAAACGTCCCCAACTCTTGAATCGGCCTCCTGACCTGACCAGAAGCCAACTTGACAACTTCTTTCTCCCGGCTTTCCTCTGAGTCCTTGGCCTTGCCGGACCGGCCTCCTTGTCGTCAAGCCTTGTGTGCTATGTTGTGCTCCACTGCTGGAGATCAGGTAAATGCCTACTTGGCATGAAGCTGAGGTCCCTGCAAAGGCATGCTGATTCGTCGCTGCGCCGGGGGGCAAATGTCGCATGGGTCGCCAGGCGCTAGCCCCGCCCTACCACCTTCTCGAGCAGACTTGATCATACGTGCCACATGAACGTGGTTCAAGCAAGGGTTGTGTCGGCGTAGATCCACAAACAGTCAAAAGACCGCAGGCCACTACCGGACTCGGCCAAAACATGCCAACATGGTTTTCGCAGCTACTGCCGGATTCAGGACCACTGCCCAAACGCATGTCGATTTCCCAATTAATGGGGGGATTCAGGAGGATTCGGTTTCAGGAGCGTTCCGCCAAGTATGGGTGAGGTGGCCAAGGTTGGAGCTGTCAGCTGGAACTCCACTGACCTTGCCGAGTCTCCCAGGATCAGACAGAGACAAGCCACTGCGGCCAGGTATAGATCGAAACAAGCAGAAGAACATGCGACGATCGTCCAACCGCATCCTCGCGCATCTTTGCAGCAGGCTTATGACGATGTGAAGGCTAACATCCTGAAGCCGCGTGCAATCCTGCACAAACTTATACTGCACGAGCTCCGCAACAGACACTCTACCTTGCAAGTGCAAATCTCCCCAAACAAAAACTGAACAACGAGTGCTGTTTTTGAAGCCCTTCGTGCAGATTTGGCAGCGCTTTGGCACGCCCAGCACAAACTAAACGTTGTTGAGGTGTACTGTTCTCGTGCATGTATGTACGTATGTGCGTACGTACGTACGTATGTATGTAAATATGTACATACATCAGTAATGTGTTGGATCCCAGAAAGCTTGCAACAAACATCAGTAGCAATGCTTGTGTCGGCAATGACAACGCATGACAAGCCTGGCTACGAGCACACCTCGCTCACTGCACACTGCTCATGTGGGGGCCGTGGAATTGATCACGTTCAGGCAGTCCGGGTAAACGATGCCGAACTCCGCCGCCCAAATGTTGCCTCAGTTGGCTGATTTAGGTCCCCAGTCACCTGCTCTGCAAGGAGTCGTGCTGCACAGGGGGAGGGGTGGGAACCCAGCAGCATCTGACTTTCCAAGAGCGCTCACAGCGCATCTCCCTCCAGCTGTAGCACAGTCCCCGAGACGGATTTAGACATCCTGACTTTGCCAAGTCCAGTATGAGCAGGACAGGCATCCTTACTCAGCCAACTGCCGAGCACTTGCCCCACTACTATGGTCTTAAGGACTTAGTCATGCCCTCGGAACCGGAACCACGCTAATGCCCCATGTCCTTCCTTATATACTGATCACTGACGACAACCTTTGAAAAGACAGGCATCTGCGAGACTGTCAACAGCGAGCCGAGCGACCTGACCAGATGCCATCCGATAGAAAACATTGCAGCTCCCTGGTGACTTCTAGGTTAGGAAGATACAGCGCCTATACGGGCCTATACGGTGTGGCTCAGCTGTATGAGTATGGACGACGGTGCAAGAGCAGGATGAGCCCCTGCCAAATAGAGTATCCCGTGTCTGGTCAGAACCCGAATGAACCCAGCAACCTACATGCAGCCAAGCTGCATAGCTCCCAGAATTGCAGGTAGATGAGCACTCGTGTCTCAGGAAGCAAGCTCCTGCCTCCGCTCACCTGCAGGGACATTTAGACGACCGGAATAAACATATGTTGCTGCTGCGGGTTCTCTGTGACTTCAGATGTCTACAAGCAGCCATTGATCCCCAATAGACTCCTGACTCTTTCTTGGAACTGCCTTGTAGGCCGTCGTGAGGTTGTCGCACTTGGACTTGAAGCCCTTTTTGTTGTTGCAATTCATGATCTCCGCAGGGGCGCTGACACATGCAGGAGTGCTAACAGGGCAGTTTCTGGACTTTGCCAGCGAGAGCATGGCATACCCTTGCATCCCCAAAACCTTTCCTCGACTTGGGCCTGCGAGTAAGTGTCCGGGTCAAACTTCTGCGGGTTGATGCCCAGGAAGCCTCCCACTTTCTCCAGCAAACCGCCCTTGAGGTTGATTCTGCCAGGTACCAAGTCCTCGTTCCTCAGATTGACCCTGACGCTCAACTTTGCTTCACGCTCCACCCCTATACAGCAGTTCTCGACGACCACTCTGTGACCTCGCTTATCAAGAATTTCCAGGCGTGCAACTTCTCGTCTGGCAAGTGCAGAGGCGACTAAATCTGAGGAAAATTGCAATCAAGATTCCTCAAGAAGAGGATGCTGCTGCGCCCGACCATCCGCATCAGAAGCCTGGGATCCTCGAGGCTCCTGCATCGCCAGTTCACTAGCCACTGCCCACCCAGCGTCTGCGATCTGGATGAAAGCCTCAGGATATCTCAGGATTTCAGGTGCACCATAGCCGTTCTCAACAAGTTCCCTGCACGGCTTTGAGATCACGTGCTTGAGTCGAGGGTCAGCTCATGGAACAACTCTGGCGAACGATAGTTCTTCTTCACCCAGCCATAGCGACCGAGACCTTCGGCATCGAGGTGTTTCTGCTGGTCGAAGAAATTCCAGGAAGACCACAGCCAGTCAGCGGGATCGCGAAACCTTGGCGTCACGCAAGCCACTTTCGTGCCGCTTGATTGAAAGAAGGATTGGGTTGAAAAGTTCAAGCATGAAGCTCTGCCTGTTGCAGCCTGAACCTTATCTGCGGCTGGGGATCATGAGGATGAACTTGCGATTGGTCGGCCTCAAATAATACCAGGTGAATGCCACGCTGGCAAAGTTGACGCACCTCGCAAGCCGAAACCCAAGGATTGACGGCTACCAGTTTTCCTTGCATAGGAATCATTGTTGCAGACTTTCTAGGCGCAGGGATCCAAAGGTGGCAGGTCGTGTCCCCGCTCAACCATTTTTGTCTGAAGCTTGGCTCAAGCCGCCAACCCCGTGTTAAACCTCAAGAGCCCAATGTTGACGCGTCTGAGAAGCACCCATTCAGCGTAATGGCGGGTGCCGCGCCGGGCGAACTAGAATGCCCGGAGCGAGTTGCCGCCATGGATTGAACGAAAGAGTGCCTTGACTGATCTGAGTCCCAGGTGCACATGTCTGGCATCAGGAACGACTCACCATCACGTACCGTAAAGTCGTGGAAGCTGTCGGTTACCGTTTTGGTAGCCTGCTCTGACGCCGGAAAGCAGCCGAGGAACAGATTGACTTGGAGCTTTCGCTTCTCTCTATCCAGATCATTCTGCGCATCGAGAACCACGTCCCTCCTCGTACGAGGGTAGACTGCGCAGTTTTCCTTGCGGTTCGGATTCAGTCTTCTCCTCAGTTGCTTCAACATCGTGAGGCCACATGCTCCCACTACCACCGATCCTCCGACTATCTCTCCCGACCCTGCAAGAAGAAGTCAACTGCCGCTGAGAATCACGTTTGGGTGGGAGCCCAGGATTTCATACAGTTGCGTCGTGCCCGTCTTGGGCAAGCCAACGATGTTCAAATCCGCAAAAGCTTCTTGAAAAGAAGGCCGTGGACGAAGCGACTCCTTGCATGAAATCTGCTGGTCGCAGATGCTGCAACAAGATGGACTTGACTCTCGAACCTCGTGCAACTTGGACGATCGCATGCTGGTGTGATCCCAATGCAGAGCTCGGTCCCAGTGCAATTGACGATTTGGTGGGACTGAGCCAACTGTACGAGTAATGCTCAGCACATCTCAGCACCGTTTAAGAGTAAAGAGCCGTCAATCCCAAAGGAAACTAACCCTCACTTGCAACAAAGCATCGGGCATCGGGACAAGGTCTGGATGCTGGTCCTGGATTCCTGAGCTGGGCGGGCTGTCGAAGCTTATCCAGCTCTCCAGATGTTGGCTGCTGCGGACCCGCCCAAGGTCCGGGTACCCGATTCTGACTTGTCGGGAAACGTATCCTGGTAAGTTGGCTTGATTCAAGTCTGGCTGGGGGGAAATCCGTTTGCAAGGATATAATAGCCATCAATCAGTGCATATTATGCTCCTGAGCATGCCATGTCCAATGCGGGGTAATAGCACCTTGTGACTGCTGTGGCAAGGGATCGCACAATGGTCCTGAAAGCTACAGGTCTGACATCCACGCCAGAATTTCAGGCATGCAGTTATCCCCGTGACCTTGTTGACCGAAAGTGCCATAAAGCGCCCCTACCCACCGAGGTTCCCAAGAAACCGCTGCACTCCTGCGCGCCATCGGTGCGAGCAGCGCCCTGCAGAGTGAGACGTCTCTGAGCTTGGATGTGCCGCTGGTATGTGTCGCGCACCTCGCCAGCCAACCTGACAGAGAATACCGGTGGTCAGGCTTTGCAAACGGAAGTTTCTAGACAGACACTCGCTTCGAGAGAGGTAGCCCGGCCGTCCTGGCATGCCGGATGCACTCGTCCATGTCTTTGCAACGAAGGAGGGACAACAAATTCCGCAGCTGCTCTTCCGCATCCAGGCTGCTGAGATTCGTCTCAGGGCCGCCAACGGCAAGGGCAGGCTCCGAATTCGCATCCGACTGCCAGCACGGCGTGGCCTCAGCGGCCTCAGCATCCTCGCCCTCGCCATGCCGCAGGCCAAAGAACGTGTGGGCGATGCTCAAAGTCAAGGCCGACAGCAGGCAACCGAAGAGCAGGCTCTGCAGAAACACCCGCGGGGGCCGCAGATCAGACATTCCTCCCCTGCCCTCCCTGCCGCCCCTGGGCCTGTGTGGCAGCCACAACGAGTTCTGCAACCATGGCTGAACCCCTGGCGAGCTAGGATGCTTCCGATTGCGCCCCTGCTTTGAATTGAATGTGCTTGATCATGGCACGAGCGTTGGGGTTGGGAGGGTGCTGACCAGGACCGAGCAATGACCCTCTCCTTGCTATCTCCGTCATCTTCAACTCCTTGACCCTCAACCTGGAGCGGCAGACAAGGGGTCTGGCAACCTGAGAAACGCCCGCGCTTCCATTCCGCGGACCCTGAGCATAGGGTATCGGATGCCAAAAGGATGCACTGGTGTTAAGTTACGGGAGAACAGACGGCAGCGTGTTCTATAGTTCCTCTCTACCTTATGATGATCCAGAGCGGCTGCAGGGAGGTGGCAGTAGACAAAACGCAGTGGGAAGGCCTTGACTGCCAAAAAACTCACGGTGTCGGGACTAAATCTCAAACATGTCTTTTTTTCTCCTCCGCCATGCCGGCACGTCCACTTCAAGAGCAGTGTCGCTGAGAAGGGGCAGTTGGCAGCTTCGGAGAGGTGGCCCGAATGCTAAAGTCTGCTTGTTCCTTGTCTGGCCTCGTCCAACTCGAAACACGATGCTGCACCATGCTGGAAATCACGAACACACACACACACACATACAAACAAGTAGGCAAGGAGGTAAGTAAGTCAGTCAGAAGAGTGAATGAATGAGGGAGAGTAGGCAAGTAAGCAAGAACGCATGTGTACATACAATGTGCGTCTACGGTGACACTGCAAGTTAAGTTTAACATGTTAGGAACAACGAGGCTTAGGTTCCTAAAGATGGCTTACGCTCTCCAGGGCTTGGACTACTTACAAGTGCGATGTGGTCTTTCGCTCTTTGGGGTCCACTGGCTGCATATTCGTCCGACGTCCAAGCTTCAGCCAGCCACCCATCTTGCACGAAGCTGGAGCCGCTAGCATTAATTTCAAGCAGGTTGCTGACAAGGCTCGTTGGAAAGCGCCACAAAACAGAGACTGAATGCTTCTGGCAGCAAGGACGCGATCGGGGGGTCAGGGTGACATACAGAGGCCAGATTTGCAGGACGGTGAAAGGTTGCTCTGCCGAAAACAGAGGTGCTTTCTATGACATCCCCAGAACTAAGCAGGCTGCGACACACCGGGCACACCGATGGCACGGCTTTCCAATCAGAAATCTTTGTCGACCACCCGGATGTGCACATGGCCCGAGACAGGGCAGCACTTCCGCATGCCGTGGCGAGCAAGGGGAGAAAAGCTCATGCAGCTTTGCCCAAGAGAATCGAGCGTGCTCTCGCCAAAGGAAGCCGAAGGGCCCTATGCAAGTGACTTCTGCTCTTCTAAAGGCTTGCTTCGAAACGTCAGCCTCCGAATGACATGAGACGATTCTATAGATACCGATCGCGCCGCCCAGAAGGTAAGGAATCTTCAAAGCGCTGGTAGCTGCCTTCCGGCTCTTTCCAAGTGTCGGATTGCTGCTCTGAGAAGCAAATACAGTAGTTACCTGCCTCCTCCAAGCCGTCTAATCGATGTACTTCGCATGGAGCCGTTGCTTGTGCACTACTCTACCCATTGGAATAGCTCTGCTCCGTGCAAAAATGGAGTGGAGCGCTTTCGCGTCGATCTTGCTCGCGAGTCTCAAGCCACGACGGATGTTGAATTTGAGACATGCAAACCATTTCCACCTCACAAGGCTCCAAAGAGTTCTGATGTTCCATCGCTTTCAAACCCAAACACTTCGAATCTCGCACAGGATGAGCAAACAGGGACACACAGCATCCAACCACCCGACCTGAAATCCCATCAGATGGAAACACCAACAACTACCATCCTTCCGGCTCATGCGGGGCAGCGAGTTCGCCTACGCAACCTCAGTTGAACTCTCGGCAAATGCTTGCCGAGGGACTGGATGCGGGCTTGCGGAAAGGGTTCCAGCACACCAATGGGCTTCCGGCTGTGTTCTGATCGAGCTTGTGCAAAAGGGTTTCAATTTTGCCATAGAGTCTGCGCAGTGCAGTGCTTGTCCCCTTGTCAAGGCACCGGGATCTACCAGGATCGTGCGTTGTTTGCGGTCCGTTCACCACAGCCGCTATTGGTGCGTGGATGACCAGTGCTCCTTTTGCCCAAGTGCCACACATCGGTAGAACCTTATGTCAGCTCCCTTGTGTTGGAAGATTCGTTTCGTCGCCGTTTCCGCAGCCCACGGAACCTCAATTCCCGAGGGCTCGGCGCGGTGGGACGCGTGAGAATGAATTTGAGCCTGAGGTGCTTGTCGCGAGGATGCAGACAAGTATTGAACATGATGACCCCAAGAAATCAGGTCACCGGCTGGAGTGCTTGCAAGTACATTTACACCATGACTCTGGTCCTGGGCATGGCGGGCATGGCATGGCTCTGTTTGCTTAGCACTGACGCTTGCTGAGATCCCTGTGAATTTGTCAACTGCAGGCTATTTGCAAGCGTTGGAACACCTATTCAGGCTTTGCTGCTTCAGCCTTACATGGGCTCAGAGAAATGTTGAGACATCGAATTCCCACAAGATAACGCTCCCGGTCCTGTACCGTGACCTTCTCAACTCCTTGCCCTAGGCTTGGAAGCCCAACCTGGGATCACAACGCTCAGAATTATTCGTCATTCCAGAACTACCAGAGCCTGAAGGGACATGTGAGATGTGAGGATGTGGGCCTTTCAGCTGGACCGTCTATCCTGGAGGCTGGATCGTGACGGCTACACCATGGGATCCGTTCATGTAGGTGTCAGACAGCCCTGGTGGCCTTGAAGGTCCAGATCTCTCGTGTCTCGCCTTCACTGTTCACTATGGCTTGCGCCTCGCTCCTGTAGAAGACTGAGTATGCCACGATAGGAGCTTTGCAAGAAGCAGTGCCTGCAGGGGGAAGCCGAAATCTCGGCTACGCTTGGTAGGAATGGCCTGTTGGAAGAGATGTCTGTGGGCTTTACATTTCAGTTTAGGGTGACAGGTGAGTCCATGGCTACAAAGGTCAGTCGCGAGCAGAGCCGGTGTTGCTAATACTCAACCGCTATACCGCTCAGGCGGCGCGGGGACAGTGCTAGCAAACGGCTACCAAAAATGCCAGCCGAGCCGAAGGCTATGATGATGCAAGCTTCTGTTCTGACGACGGTTTTCCCAGCCTCCTCACCGCCTCCTTGGAGCATCGAAGCTGCCTGCTGATTGTTGGGATTGGGTTAAGGCCAACGCCAAGAGCTTCCGAGGGTTTCTGACGCTCAGGGCCTTCGAACACGGAGACTGTGCCTGTCGAATCTCGTTATCTCTGACTGACCACTGCCGCCAGCACATGGAAGCTCTCAGTTCTGCTTCCCACAGACTTCTCGTTGCTGTGCCGCAGGACTGTTGGTCTCCCGCGCCCTTGCACGGGAACGCCAGAAAGTTTCAGGGAGATGCTAAAAATCGGATCCCTCTCTCCCTTGGCCTGCTTCAGATTGAAGCCTGCGCCTCAGCAAGAAGGCATTTTCGTTTTGCCCGCATGCTAGTTGCCCTAGTTGCGACTGTACTGACAAGGAGTTGGGGCTTCCAATCAATTTCGCTATGTCCGCATGAGAATCCCAAAAGCGAAAGCGTGCCATCCCGAATCTTCATTCGTATGTCAGAATTGCCAGAGGCAAACTGAACCGGCTCCGGAGTGAGAGATGCTTTCAGCCCGGGAACTCACAAGGGCTGCCGCGCATGCGCGTGCGTCCGAGTCCTTCAACACGGCAAGGCAGAGGGGTTTGGAGAATCTCGCCCAAGTCTGCGACAGCGAGACGAGTCTGGGATCCGAACTCAATCCAAACTGCTGTCTCTACCTCAACAATCAAACCCGTTGGCCCATTGAGCCTGAAGCCAGGAACTTTGAGCTGTTCGCCGGTTCGATACGTGAGCGCGAGCATTGTAGCTTATGCAACGACTGCGACATGGATTGTCAAACTTCTCTGAGCCCTCTATAATATAAACATGAATGACCCTGGCAAAAAGATGAATCCTGGTAGGCCTCGAGCAGGTGGCAGAGACCTTGTAGAGCCTTGGGTTGCTTTACTCCGTATCAAATATTTCATGCGTGAGCGGGGTTGTAGCTCCATATGTCGAAGTCCATAGATTTAAGGAGTCCATGACCAAGTCTGCGCTCTGCAGAGAAAGCGTGCAAGATCGTACAAGGCCCCAACCAGGAGTAGCATTTCTCGGTCGATTGTTCCCTCCAAGACCTGCAAACAAGTTCCAGTGCATGCAATCAGCAGACACTGTCCGCTGTCCAGCCTTCGTCCACCAACTGGGCGTGAAAACAAATATCGTTTAGCCCCCCAGCTTCGCATGACACATGCCTGAAATGGTGGTGGGGACCTCACATGGCTTCAGAGGAAGATCCCTGCTCAAAGTTATCCCGACTCTCTCTCTTTCTCTCTCTCTTTCTCAGACGGCCCAGTACAGTGCCTGGCAGAAGAACTCCAGGCTGCACTCGACACGCTCAAGCAGCGGAGCAGACCTGCAGTGGAAGCGTGCGAGGTCATAGTCTTCAGAAATAACGAAATTCTGTGGCCCATATCCCTTCACGTTGGGTCTTTCTTCCACATCTCTGGAACTCGCGTGTCCTCGCTCTGCCGTATTGCGTGGTCACAAAGAGATTGCACAACTGCTTTGGGTTTGCAAGTCTCATTCAGTTCTCGACTCCTGCACCAATCTAACAGTCACTAGGGTTAGTAGAACGATTATTACCATTGTCGCAACTTGGACTCTTGCTAATTACAAACTAGGTACGAGTTGTAGCTGCTTGTAGCGATAGTTTGCTTGTTGACGATGATATTGTTGTTCAACTGCCAAGCAGTCCCCATCCACCACTAATGCTGCCATTTTCTACGGTGAATATGAGTACGATGAACACTGTTGACGAAAAAGCACAATGGATTTGTTACATGCCATTTTGACGAATGCTGATGCTTCGCCACATTCGCTTTATCGCGTCGAGATAGAAACAACAACACAACAACAACGACCACGACCACGACCACAACCACCATTTCCAGCACCACAACAACAACGCCAACAACACCACCACCAACAACACCACCACCAACACCAACACCAACACCAACACCAACACCAACACCAACACCAACACCAACACCAACACCAACAACAACCACAAACACAACCACAACCACAACCACAACCACAACCACAACCACAACCACAACCACAACCAGTCACAACCACAACCACAACCACAACCACAACCACAACCACAACAACAACCACAAACATAAACACAGGCACAAGCACAAACAACGACATTTCATTCATTCATTCCTTCATTCACACGCAGCGCGAGGGCGCTCAATGTCTCTGTGAAACATGTCCTCGCTTTGCGAGTGTCTGACCTACTCTTTGCTCGTGCTCTTCTCTTGGCTGACACTGGCAGTGTGAATAACCTGCTTGGGAGCATATCCTTCAACCCATCCCAGGGAACCCAATAGGCTCTACATAGAAAGTCGCTACAGCAACTCGCTGCAGGCCGTGCGCAGCGCTGCACCTGCATGCACCCCGTCCCGAAGGACTGCAGGCTACGAGCCACGAAGCTAAGGGCTTGTGCAGGATGGTACTCGATTCTGGAACTGAGCTGATTTACTCGTGCTTCCCGAGTCCCGTGCGGAAGATCGGAGATAGCTCCGGTAAATCGAGACCTGTCCGAAGCACATGTACCCATTGCCAGGCTTACCAGACGAGATGCCCTATCTAAAATCTTTTTACCCGGTTAACCATTGACTGAAAACAAGTCTCAAGCCGATGGACGGTTTGCTGGACCCGTTCTCACCACAAGCTCTACAGGATTAGTCGTCGTCGTCAAGGGAGCTGAGGTTTTCACTGTGATGCCTGCTGCAGCAAGAGCTGAGTGTGGTGTTGTATGAGGTGGGGGTGGTCCACCACTGAGTACCCCCACCCCTCCCAAGGGGGTACCTCCACCTGTGGCTCCTGAGAATGACCATGGATTACCCGACAGGGGAGAAACCCCTCCTGCAGCAGGAGCTGGGCCAATTCGGTGAGTCGAGGCTCGGTCGAGTATGGCATGATGACGCTGACGGGCGTGCTATGATGCTGGAGACCCAATCGCTGCAGTCATCAGCTTTCACAAGTGATCTGACTGCTGTGACAAGAGTGATAGGATAGGCACGAGACTGAGCTCTGCCATTCTGAAATTGACTGTCCTTGTGGGTGGAGAATCTCCGACCCAGGATAGGCCCTTCTTGAGCTGATGAATCTGACTATGAGAGCAAATCCCGAATCTGTCTGCACAGTGGCGAGGGCTGAGGGCCTTGCCTCTCAAAATCAGCATTCAGCATTCAGCAATGAGAAGGCAGAGTTGTTGATCAGGGCACTTAGTGACTCTATCAACTCTGCTGTTGACTGCCGACATGAAACTGAAAAAGCAACCGCGCCGGCCCGCCTGACATGTTTTCAGCAAGGGGGCGCGGAGTGCGAACGAATTTGACACGCTCAGAATCCGTTTCTCGCCTCGAGATAACGTTCCCCAGCCCTGAGATCACATGCGCCGTGGTAAGCGGCTCTTCCAACGTCTCTATCATCGTCTGATCTGCTAGTGCCTGCCTCCTTAGCTGTGCCTGGGCTCTGGCATCCCTGTCCACGAGAAGAAGCCTTTCTTTGAGTTCCCGAAAGCTTCGGTGTCGTCAAGGGAGACTGCTGGTTCTTGATTCTTTTGTTCTCTGCGTAGAGCTTCGGGAGGATTGCGTGGTCATCTGTTTTCGCATACGAGACGAAGCTGAAGTCTGATGAGATGGCACTGGATGTTCATCATGCCTGAGTAGCAACCTTGCCATGGCGTTGACCAGCTCATCTGACCCTGAGCTCTCAGCCTGCCAAGAAGAGGCAGGACCTGAGAGTCTCGCAGCGCGTTGCTGCGACTTCTGACCTCCTCTGCCCTTTCCCTTACCCTTACCTTTCGGAGGGGGAGCTCCTCCACCCCTTTGCCTCACATGGGGAGCAACTCCACCTGTACCTTTGCTAAAGAGACCTCTCTCCCCTTTCGAGAAAGAGCACATAGCAGCTACCTTCAATGAACCCATCTGATAGGGACTTCGGCTCTGGTGGCTTAGAGTCATCGCCAAAAAACGAATTCTGATCTTGTGAAAAAATGACTTCGTCCCCTATATAAGTTACTGATGAAGTACTGCGGCACTCAAAAGAAATCTCTTCCAAGTTACACTTGCATCAAGCCCCTCGAACTCTGGGAGTTCAATTAGTTCTTGTAGCTGTGTGCTGGTCTGGTTTTTGTACGGTCTACAAAACGAGGCAGGGCTAAGCAGACACAGTGGCTTTCTCGCAGGAGAACATGAAGTCTGTCCTGACTGCTCCATTTGTACAAGATCCGTTGGAGTGTTGGCTCTGCCCGGACAACTTTAAAGCTCGATGAGGAAACCTACGAGAGCATTGCAAGGACATTCATGCAATGCCCGAGCAAGCAGGATCAGGCCTCGACGGAGGAGCACCCCGCAAGCATGCAGCTTTGCCGGGCCACAGCGCTAGTGAGCGTCGGCACAGCTGCTCATGAGCAGCAGGTTCCCAACTCAGAGCCCGCATCCCGTCAGAAGCCCACGCATGAGCAGCAGGTTCCCAACCCAGAGCCCGCATCCGATCAGAAGCCGACGCAGAAGCAGCAGGTTCCCGACCCAGAGCCCGCATCCGATCAGAAGCCCACGCAGAAGCAGCAGGTTCCCGACCCAGAGCCCGCGGCCGCATCCGATCAGAAGCCGACGCAGACGGCCAGGTGAACTGGGGAGGAACAGCTGCAGCTGGAGTACGAGCTTCCCACCCTGCGAAATGAATGCCTTGCCAGTTTGGAATGATATAACGCAGAAACCCTGCCGAGTCCTGCCGTCGTCCATCGAAGATCCATCCATGAGTCGCCGCCTCCAGTGCGATATGCTCTGGGGTGATTCTGGCGAGGATACTACTATACTAACTGCTAGGGCCTGCTAGGGCAGAACCTAAATCCCATTCCTGAGGTCATTTGAGATCCAGTGAAGGATATTGCAAAGCTGCATTGGCGTAACAATGATTAGCTCGGGAGCATTCCGTCGTTGAGCCTGCTGGCCCGGCTCTGGCGTCTCTCGCACCCAGGTCGAGATCCAGACGAAGTGCCTCCTGAAGAACATATGCTTGAAGGAAGCACATTGTTGCACGTGTCTTCCTGGCGCATCGACCTTCAGCCTGCAGTACCTACAAGTGTCCCCCTTCTGAAGAAGGCTTTTTGTGTTGCTGTAAGCGGGATTTTATAACAGAGGATAGCTGCTTCATGATTTTTGGATGCTGCTTGTTGAGGCGCTGCTTCACTCCCTTGTTGCCCGCTATTGCCTGACCGCAGAGAAGGCAACTTCCTCCTTCGGGAGCTCTTCTGTGTTCCTGAGCAGAGTGATGACCCTAGAGCAGGTGGATGCTTCAATATGTCTTCTCAGATAGAAAGGTTGTGAGCTGCGGGATCAAGTTTCGGTCCTCGCAGGCTCATCTCTCGGGCTTGGTGTTGCCATTGCTGGTGTCGTCGGAGGGGGCCAGTGCCCACGAAGGTGGCCCCACACAAAGTCTATTTGTGACACTGGGTTGCCCTGGACGTGGGTGGCAAGCTTTTTGTTCCGCCACGTGTTGGCTGCAGTCACCTGGTGCTGTTCAAGGACCTTTCTCAAGGTCTTTCGGACTCCGATGCCCTAACCTACTAGATTCCAGGGTACTCGGCCCAACGTGCTTTTGATTTGTGAGTAAGGGTATGTCTCCCGATAGGAGAAGGGTGTTTCTACGAGGGAGCTGATTCAAGAGCTGCCCTAGCTTGTGGATTGATTGTGCCTGATCGACGTTTCTTGTTTGCAGTCACTGTTTCCTTTGATCTCCAAACAAACTGGCAAAAGAAACTGCATCAAGTGATATGTCCAATCCTGGAACCCTCACATGGAGCAGCCTGCCAGGCAATACCTCGTTGAATCTGATGTCCTTTGCTCGACAGAGGGAGTTGTGGCCCATTGTGAGCACTCCGGCTCCTTTCTCTTCTGAGGAGCCAGAGCTGATAACGTGCCACTCGCCTTGCTGAATTGCCAGCTTCCCCTCCAACGTGTCTCTTGGATGAGAACATTCCTTGTGGCCTCACAGGGAGGTGTCTATAAGATGGAGAGTAGCTCTTCCCACACTGCAGTCGTTAGAGAACCTGCGTTCCAAAGATACTCTACTACCTTATCCCTTTGAGGCTACGCCTTTAGTTTGCAACCTTCCTGGGTTGACGTTGAGCCGGAGCATCTCCTGGCTCGTTTGCACTAGGGACTGAAGCCGGAGCACCTCCTGGCTCAGTCAAGCTCAGGGTTCTTCCCTTGTATGTCGCACTGCCTTTTTTCTGAGCAGTTCTTACCGCCTTTTGATGAGATCTTTTGCCTTTCCCTTTAGGAATCGGCGTTTTTGTCTTTGGTCAGATCACTGTGCTGTTTCGCTGCGCCCATATTGGACTCAGCTCCTGCCGGCGACTCACGCCGACAACCCTCACCTCTGAGAGCCTTCAACTTAGCTGTGATATCGAAGTCGCTCTCCCTCGGACTTGGGACCGGGACAGCTCCGGCCCAGGCACTGACAAGTGTCATGGCGAGCGAGGAAGAGGCCAACTATACTACGCCTGACCTCGCCTGAGCCGAGAGGCTTACAACAACAACAACAACAACAACAACAACAATAGCAACAACAACAACAAGAACGCCAACGCCAGCGCCACAGCCAACAGCCAACATCCAACATCCAACATCCAACAGCCAACAGCCAACAACAACAACCACAACCACAACAGCAACAGCAACAGCGGCAGTAACACCGTCATCATCAACAGCAACCACATAAACCACTGCAACATCATCATCATCATCATCAACAGCCACAGCACAGTCAATAATCGTCATGATCATAGTCATGATCATGACCACGACACTGATAATGACGTCTCTGTGTGTATGTACATATATACATATAACAACAATACTAATATTAGGGCAATATAGCAATCATTGTAAATGCATCACATCGGCCGCAAGAAGCAGAGGCCTCCAAATCAGCCCCAAAGGGATCCCGGCGGAAGCCTCCAAGCCTCCCCTCGACCTGAGACCCAAGCGAAAAAATGCATATCCGGCCTCATCTTCTTCCTCACCATCATTGCAAGCATCATAAACATCGTAGCAGTCATCAGGAACGTAGTAGCCAGCCACGTTCCAGACAGGCATTTCAAAGTATTTTAAGGCTTGGCAGTGCAAGTTGGGATCAGAAAAGCAGGCATCAGCGACGAAAGCAAGATTCGCAATATCGACAAAGTTTCAACAGTACCGACACAAAGCAAAGATTTGCAATACTCTTGATATTGGGACCATGAATGCGTTGCAGAGTTGAGGACACAACCATGTTCATATACGTAATGTTTCTATTGCCGGCAAGACTCGTCATGTGCAACAGATGGCTGCGCGGCCCGTGAGTGTTTTTTGCGGACGACCACCGTGGTTTTCTTGCACGTCTTTAGTCTGTATGTCTGAGAGCCTGCCGCAGGAGCAGTACACCGCGCGCGGAGTGAAATTTGTGAAAGGCCTGGTCCGCGAATTTGTTGTGGAACCGGCTTGGGTTTGCTCAGTGGGGTGCTTCAAGCAATGCCAGTATGTCCTAACATGCAGAAACATTGATTTTAGGGGCATGGTTGCAAGGTCATTCAGCCTTTTTGAGCATCGGTGCAACTGTGAGGCACGTGTCGTCATGCCTATCAGTTTGTTGTCACCTGGGAAGCTTTGAGAACGCTTCGTACCGAAGCGAGAGAACTCAAACCAGAGCCCTCGTAAGAAATATCGGAGGTCTCGAAATCCCAAGCAGATTGCTCAAACCCAGAGGCACCATTGTACAAGCGTTGCACGAGGTTTGCACACAGTCCCCCTGCAGATTACCAGAACCTGTTGAAAGTCAAAGCCACCACTGCTGCGTATTTGCAGACAAGCTACCGGCATTAGATCCACTGGGGTTGGTATTGGGGTTTGCGAGATCCTGGAAGCCACAATTCCGTTCAACAGTTCAGTAGTTGTCCAATCTTCGCTTTATTTGACTTGCAGATGCTTGCATCATTGTATATCGTTCCATCATTATCGCCACTTGGAACCCTGAGTCGTTGTACCCCATTTTTGACGCCCTTGGTCCCAGGAGATCAGGTGACCGAATTCATTGGTGATGGAGGCTCCCTATCAGGGCTGACCCTCAAGCTGCCGGCTCAGAGGCTCCGATTCTGTCTTCGGAGACCCGTAGAAAGCAGCTCAGGTCTGGGACCAAGCTGGAATGCAACCTGGCTGTCGTCGGCATCGGTGCCGCCCCGAATGTTGAGTTCTGCGAAGGGTCCGAGGCTTAGGAGCTTGCACGAGCCAGGCCTCGAAGAAGTTTCCACCAACGCCTCCGAACTATGAAGCTGAAGTTGCGACTTCGAATTGGCTTACTATCACTTATCGTCGCCCGAATTGTGTGATGAGAACCTTACACAACCGATTGGTTCGCCTGTCACGCGTTCTCGTCCACATTCAGCTGCTGTGGAATGTTATACGCCCATCGTGCGCATTTCTGCTTGCCAAGCACTGCCTGGCCTAGCAATCTGGAGCTTTGTTTTTCAAACTCGTCTGGCTTCTTACCGATTTCCTGATGGACTTACGTCATCATTCGGAAATTCTCGAGCGTTAAGCCCCGCTGATTACATGCTGAGTTTGAGATCTTGTTTCTTCTAACTGCTCTTCTTGTCCACTGGATGCTTGGGCATTGAAGCTTGTAGTCCTCACAGGATGACACAACACCCAGGACACCGAAAGCAGGATGGCCCGACCATCACTTTGCCATACTTTGCCCGCATCAATGCTTCGCGACCGCATGGCGAGCATTCGACAGAAGCATATCGCGATTCTTTGGTTGCTCGCCGTTTCTCGTCTCCTTCGTACTGTACTGTCTCCATAGATTCCTGCAGCATGTTGCCGCTAGCTCGGGCCGTCTGAGCGCTCCACGCTTTTGAGAATGCAAGCTCTGAAGAGGATCGATGTGATTGCAGGTTTTGACCATTGCGTTTATCTCAAGTGTTTCTCTAGCGTTTCATCTCCTGTCAATCTCGGGGTAAAGATAGCTGCAGCATGCTGCAGCAGGGACTTGCAAAACGAGCAAAGCGCCACAATGCACCATGCCTTGGGCAGTTTTTACTGTATTTCCAAGTCGTGGTGACATGTGGAATTGATACGACACGGTGTCCAGCTGAGCCATGGGCGGTGCTCAAGCCTCGCTTTGCTCGTGCTGGGAGCGTCAAAAGCTCCCGGAAGATTTCCGGCCTCCACCGCCTCCGCCTCCCGCTCGTGCCGGTCCACCCCAAGCCGAGCCCTCGGCAAGCGC